CCCATGCACAAATTTTGTGCACCAGACCATAAGAAGGAATGAAGTAATGATATATACCACAGCATGAATAGACCTTGAAAACATAATGCTAAGGAATGAAGCCATATGGTGATAGCAGAAGATTTGACTTTGGGTGATGGGCACTGGTACTATATACAGATATTGTAACATAGAAACCCACACCTGAAACCTGTATGATCATGTTGACCAATGTCCCCCCAATAAATTTAATATTAATAAATAAATAATAAGTGGATAAATGAGACACAAAAGACCACATGTGAGACAGAGGGAAGACTAGTGGTTGTCCAGTTTTGGGAGAAGGGAGTGAAGGTGAGAAGAAATGGGAAATAACTGCTAATAGATATAGTGTTCTTTAAAAATAAATTAATTAATTAAAAAAATATATATATATAACTTCAGAGAAAGGAGGGGAGAAGGAAGAAGAGATAAAAATATCAATTATGAGAATCATTGATTGGCAGCCTCTTGCACATCCCCCACTGAGGACTGAGCCCACAATCAGGCATGTGCCCTGACCGGGAATTGAACTATGATCTCATGGTCATGGGTGTACACTTTATCACTGAAACACACCAGCTGGGCCAGTGTTTCTTTTTAAAGTAATGAAAAATTATTCTTTTGCTTTTATATCTTTTAAAATTGAATTTATTGGGGTGACATTGGTCAATAAGATCATATAGGTTTCAGGGGTATTTTATAATACATCATCTGTTTATTGTATTATGTATTCATCACCCCGTCAGAAAAATTTTTTAATTGATTGTGGTGATGGTTGCACAATTCTGTGAATATAAAAAAACCCATTAAATTATATACTTTAAGTAGGGGAATTATATGGTATGTGAATTATATGTCAATAAATCTATTAAGTCCCAGCTGAGTGCTCAGTGAAGTGTTTACCTATAAACCAGGAGGTCATGGTTGGATTCCCGATCAGGGTATATGCACAGGTTGCAGACTCGATCCCCAGTGGAGGACGTGCAAGAGGCAACCAATCAATGATTCTCTCTCATCATTGATGTTTCTGTTTCTCCCTCTCCGTTTCTGAAATAAAAAAATATATATTAATTACATCTATATAAATAAAAATGTAAATGTTAGTTTGTTCAAAAATCTTAAATCTCTGAAATTTCTTCACCGATTGCTTTGAAATTTTGACACAACATTGCATTCGAATACGCACGTGTTTTTATATACCTTTACCTTACTATTATATAGATGTCACACCTGTGACAGGTAAAAACATGCTTTTTTGAAAAACAGCACCATCAGCAACACATGCCATACTAAACATTTCACGATTCCATTTCAATGTTTCCGATTTATGATTTCCAAATTTCCAATTTTACAATTCCATTTCAATGTTGATAATGATTGAAGATTAGTGCTTAAAAGTTGTGAACAAAGTTCTCAATCATTTGGGAATGCCATCACCAAATCGATCTGCTGCTGCTTCGCTTGATGTGAAATTGCGTCGTGAACAAAATTACAACACGGATGATCTTTTGTTGTATGGGCAATCAAATATTTCTAAGCTAACGCTTGAGCAAAAAGGCATTTACAATCAAATAATGCAAACTGTCAATAACGGGGTTGGCCGAAACCGGTTTGGCTCAGTGGTAGAGCGTTGGTCTGCGGACTGAAAGGTCCCAGGTTCGATTCCGGTCAAGGGCATGTACATTGGTTGCAGGTACATTCCCGGTAAGGGGTGTGCAAGAGGCAGCTGGTCGATGTTTCTCTCTCATCGACGTTTCTAGCTCTCTATCTCTCTCCCTTCCTCTCTGTAAAAAAATCAATAAAATATATATTTTTTTAAAATAACGGGGTTGGAGAAATCTTCTTAGATGCGCCAGGAGGAACTGGTAAAACGTTCCTAATTAGATTGATTCTGGCATCAATTTGATCCCACAGTGACAGAGCCTTAGCTCTTGCATCGTCCGGAATAGCTTCGGCATTGCTACCAGGTGGAAGAACTGCTCATTCCGCTTTGGAATTGCCATTGAATGTGCAATTCATTGACCCTCCCACGTGCAACATTTCCAAAGCATCCGGCATGGCAAAAGTATTGCGGAAATGCAAAATTATTGTTTGGGATGAATGCACAATGGCACACACAAAAAAAAATCGCTCGGGCCGAGACCGGTTTGGCTCAGTGGATAGAGCATCGGTCTGCGGACTGAAAGGTCCCAGGTTGGATTCCAGTCAAGAGCATGTAACTTGATTGCGGGCACATCCCCAGTAGGGGGCGAGCAAGAGGCAGCTGATAGATGCCTCTCATCGATGTTTCTAACTCTGTATCTCTCTCCCTTCCTCTCTGTAAAAATAATCAATAAAATATATTTTTTTAAAAATTGCTCGAGGCTCTTGATCGATCATTGTAAGATTCCCATGGAAACATCAGACCATTTGGGAACGCATTAATATTGCTTGCAGGAGATTTCAGGCACACGTTTCCTGTAATTCCTCAATCAACACCAGCGGACGAAATAAATGCTTACCTGAGATACTCTACTTTGTGGTGACACGTCAAGACGTTAAAATTAACTACAAATATCCGTGTCCAGCTGCAAAACGATCAATCAGCTGGGATATTCTCACATCAGTTGCTGGAAATTGGGAATGGAAAGGTGCTGGTTGATCTGTCCTCAGGACAAATTTCATTGCCTCATAACTTCTGCAATTTAGTGAAGTCAAAAGAAGAATTGGTTGAAAAAGTATGTCCCAATATTCAAACCAATTATAAGAATCATGATCGGCTGAGTGAACGAGCTATTCTTGCAGCCAAGAACAAAGATGTCTATGAACTTCACAATATTATTCAGTCTAACATTCAAAGCGAGGCAGTCACTTACAAGTCTGTCGGCACTGTTGTGGAAGCAGATGAAGCGGTTAATTATCCAACAGAATTTTTTAATTCACTGGATCGGCCAGGGATGCCACCGCACCCACAGCAGTTGAAATCCGGTGTGCCAATTATCATCCTGTGAACTATCAACCAGCCAACCCTTTGCAACAGCACGAGGCTTGCAGTACAAAAGTTAATGAGCAACGTCGAGAAGCAACAGTCTTAACAGGACCTTTCAAAGGTGAAGATGTCCTCATTCCTCGCATTCCTATGATTCCAACGGATATGCCATTTCAATTTCAGAGATTACAATTCCCAATTCGATTGGCGTTTGCAATCACCATCAACAAAGCTCAGGGCCAATGTTTAGAATTGTGCGGTTTAGATCTAGACACGGATTGCTTCTCACTTGACAATTATATGTTGTGTGTTCTAGAGTCAGCAAACCAGACAATCTCTATATCTGCACAGACAATGGAACAACAAAAAATATTGTATACCCACAAGCATTGTGAAATTAAACATTAGAAAAGTGCGCTTTCTCTTTTCTTTCTTTTCCATTTACCCAGACTTAGCCACAGCAACGCGCGGCCGGGTACAGCTAGTAAATAAATAAATCTATTACATACAAAAACAATTATCCTAAAACACAGTTATGAAAATATTTTAAGTATAAGATAGTATTATATATGCTTCTTCATTTTTTTCAACTTTAATCTTTTTAATTTATTGTTGTAAAATTAAGAAAAAAAGATCTATTGATCCATCAACATACATATATTGACCAATATAAATATATGTATGTATTTAAATCTAAGGATAAATAAAGTGAAAGTACAACAGCCCAGTTTTTGGTTTTAAAAAAAGGTAAGAGCAAGTCACTGCCATTATAGGTGCTAGTTCACTGGTCATCAGCTACCCAAGGAGTAGCCAGCCTACTGGCATTCAGGTCCAGAACACTTTCAGTCCCTGTCTTGTTTATCTGTTGATGAAGGGTTTCTAGGAAGATTTAGCGGTGCTTCAGTTTTCTCAGTATCATCCTTGGGTTGGTTTTTCTGAAGGCTACTTTCAATTTCTTCAGGGAGGCGCTCAGTAATTTGTAGTCTGGCTTTCCACTCTTCCAGTTTCAACTCTTGGAGTATCTTTTTATCCTTCTGTTTTCTCTCCTGAATCATCTCACCATTGTACTCCTGGAGTGCCATCAACAAGCTTCCGATAGGAGTACTTAGCAAGGCTCCAATTATGCCACCAGCTACGAAGCCAGTCAGGCCTAAATTTATTCTAAAAAGGCTTCCTGAGACAGCTCATGCGATGATAAAATGGCTTAGGGCATTTTTATCTCGGTATACATTTAGACCACATGTGTCAAACACAAGGCCCTCGGGCCAAATCCGTCCCGCCAGGCCTTGCAATGTGGCCCGCACCGCGCTGTCATCACTGCACTCCGCTGCGTCTCCATCACAATGACAGTTTATGACTGTTCAGTAAACCATTCGGCCCGGGGTTTAGGCTGGATTTTAGATTTTGGCCCCTTCTCTGATTGAGTTTGACACCCCTAATTTAGACCAATGTTCACTGTGTTGAATATTGTCACAAACACTACAGTTCTTCAGCTCCAGCGCCAGCCGTATCGGATGAAGCCTCGAGTGGTAGCACGATGTGCAGATTGCACAGCATCAAACCGGTTACAATAAACTTCTGCTTGGCTCTGCTCAATGTAGCGCTGTTTAGCATGTATAAAAGCTGGTATTCCCCCATATGCCCAGCCAATGATGCATCCTGTAATGGCTGCCTTATAAATATCCTCAAGTTCCTTTGATCTTCTCTGCCATTCATCTTTGGCAAACAGCTCCCGCAGGCGGTCCCATCCAGACTCCAGGCGCTGGGCTTCTGGGACACAGGAAGGAGGTAGCTTCTGGTCCTCCGCAAGGACCTCCAAATCGGCGGCTACAGAACCGGTGGCCACAGCGCCCGCAGCAAAGACGCTGGGGAAAGGACCCAGCGCCCGGAGGATGCTCCTCGGCGTCCGCGGCCGCTCCTCCATGGCCATCCCCGAACCTGGCCTGGGTGCCAACTCATCCACGTCACAGGTCCAGACCATTGGCACCCGGCCTCACTTTGGAGGTCCTTGGACACAACTGCTTCTTCATATTTAAATAAAAAGATCTAGCAGTGGGTATTATTAATAATTATCATATTTCTTTTTTAAAAAAATATATCTTTATTCATAGTGAACACGTTCAGAGAAAAAGGGAGAGGGACAGAGAGACAGAAACATCAATGATGAGAGAGGATCATTGATTGGCTGCCTCTTGCTCGTCCCCCAATGGGGATCAAGCCGCAACCCAGGCATGTGCCCTTGACCAGAATCGAATCTGGGACCCTTCAGTCCGCAGGCTGATGCTCCATCCACTGAGCCAAACCAGCTAGGGCAATAATTATATTTTTAAAAACTAATAAATATAAATGAGTTTTAGATATTTACAATATAATATGATATGAAAATATAATACTTTGGTAATAGTCCCTCAGCCTGGCCTGCACCCTCTTAGGATTTTCTTTGGTAATAAAGTCATTGGTTACATCCATAAAAAAGAAATACTAAGATTTCGTTACAGATTAGTGAAAATAAAGATATAATTTTTTCTCCAACAAAATTCATGAATTATCTGAATTCAACCCATAAATACTTTGGGGTCTGAATCAGAGAACAAACCACCTGAAAGGCTATCATAGAAGTCTATACCAGCAAACACATGGACTATATTAATGATGTCTGACACACTTTACACCATAAAGGGATGGAGGAAAGTGGGTAGATTATAATTGTATTTGGGAAACTCAATAGGATTCAGTACTTGAATTTGATGTGGACAGTGACAGAAATATGGTGTCTGAGCTGTTGCTTGGGTAACCAAGTGGAGGGTAAGTAATCCATGGAAATAGGAAACAAAATGTGGAACAAGAAGCAGCTTGAGTGAAGTAAGATTGGGTAAAGATAAAGTGTTCAATTTGGAATGTGTTCTATAGAATCCCCTTCTTCATCTACAATACTGTCCTGATTAATATAGTCTTGTAATACTTTTTAAATTTTTATTTTAAAGAGAAAGAAAAGGAGAAAAACATTTTGTTGATCCACTTATTTATGTATACATTGGTTTATTCTTGTATGTGTCCTGACCAGGATCAAACTTGCTATCTTGGCATATTAAGACAATACTCTAATGAACTGAGATACCTAGCAAAGGTTAAATACATTTTGTAATCAGGAAATGTGATATCTTGTCTCCCATGAATATTGGACAACACAAATATGTGCTGATTAGGTTTCACCATATCTATCTACTCTGTTTGAAAAATATATTTTTCTTCCTCCCCCAGATTTATTGAGGTAAAATTGACCCCAAAACTGGTTTATTTAAAGTGTACAGTGTGCCCAGCGGGTGTTAGTGGTTGAGTGTTGACCCATGCATGAATCAGGAGGTCACGGTTTGATTCCCAATCAGGGCACATGACTGAGTTTCCAGCTTGATCCCCAGTGGGCAGTCAATCGATGATTCTCTTATCAGTTTTTATTCATCTTGTTTTAATGTATTTTTATTAATATACTAGTGGCCCAGTGCACGAAATTTGTGCATGGGTCGGTGTCCCTCAGCCTGGCCTGCACCCTCTCCAATCGGGGACCCCACAGAGATTGGGCCTAAACTGGCAGTCGGACATTCCTCTTGCAATCCGGGACTGCTGGCTCCTAACGACTCATCTGCCTACCTGCCCTAACCACCTTGCCTGCTGGCCTGCTCACTTCCCAACTGTCGTCAACCCCCGTGCCCCCCCCCCCCCCGCCGCCTGATCACCCCCAACAGCCAGCTTGATCATCCACAACTGCCCTCCCCTCTTGGCCCCTAACTGCCTCTGCCTCAGCCCCGCCGCCATGGCTTTGTCCACAAGAATGCCTGGAAGGTCTCCAGTCTAATTAGCATATTACCCTCTTTTTAGTATAGATAGAGGCCTGGTGCATGGGTGGGGGCTGCCTGGTTTGCCCTGAAGGGTGTTCCAGATCAGGGTGGGGGTTCCCTTGGAGGTCGGGGTGGCCTGGACAAGGGGCCTGTGGTGGTTTGCAGGCCGGCCACACCCCCATTGGGATGGGGGTCTTCACTGGGGATGGTGCCAGCTTGGGCAAGGGGCTGGGGCAGTTTTCAGACCAGCCATGCCCTCTTCAGAGTGAAAGCCCCCCTGGGGGGCCTGGCCAGACTGGGTGAGGGGCTGAGGGCCTTTTTCAGACTTGCCACATCCCCCTCAGGGTGGGAGTCCCCACTGGGGTGCCTGACCAGCCTGGGTCAGGGGCTGATGGCTGTTTGTAAGCTGGCCACGCCCCCCAGTGGGGACTCTCACCCCTATGAGGGGCCTGGCCAGCCTGAGTGAGGGGCTGAGGGCCATTTGCAGGCCCCTCCCTCAGCAACCAGCCCGAGTGGTCCAAGCCTCCCACTAACTCTAGCCTGTTCCATGACCACTGCCCACAGGCCCCTCCTTTGGCAGCCGGCCCAGGCAGGCGGGGAGCTTGGCTTTCTCTGTCACCAAGCCTCCCACCCACTCCAGCTGGCTCTGTGGCTGCTGTCATCTTGTCCTGCTAATTTGCATATTCCCTCCTGATTGGCTGTGGGTGTTGAGGAATGACAGTCAATTACAATATTTCTCTCTTATTAGTATAGATTTGGTAGTATTATAGATGTCTCTTATTTTTCTCTCCTTTTCCCCCCTCCTCTCAGTCCCTACTCTCCCTCCAGGTCTTCATCACCTTATTGCCCATGTCCATGGGCTATGCATATAAATATATAAGTTTTTTGGTTTACCTCTTCTTTTTTTTTTAAGTTTTTATTTAATTTTATTGATTTTTTTTTATAGAGAGGAAGGGAGAAGTATAGAGAGCTAGAAACATTGATGAGAGAGAAACATTGACCAGTTGCCTCCTGCACACCCCCTACCGGATATGTGCCCACAACCAAGATACATGCCCTTGACCGGAATCGAACCTGGGACCTTTCAGTCCACAGATCGACACTCTATCCACTGAGTCAAACCAATTTCTGCTGGTTTATCTCTTCTTGTCCCCCCAAGTCCCACACAGAGGTATGTCAGTCATTTTCATGCCTCCATGCTACGGGTCTTATTTTATTGAATTAATTTTGCTCATTAGATGTCACTAAGTGAGATCATGTGATATTTGTCTTTCTCAGAATGGCTTTTTTCACTTAGCATAATAGTCTCCTGGTCCATCCATGCTGTCCCAAAGATCCCTATTTTACACAGTTGCATAGTATTCCATTGTGTAAATGTCCCAATGCTTTTTTATTCATTTATCTACAGCTGGGCACTTGAGCTGTTTCCAGATCTATTGTAAATAATGCTGCTATGAACATGGGGGTGCATATATTATTTCTGTTTGGCATTTTGGGGGTTTTCAGATATATTCCCAGAAGAGGGATCATTGGAGAATCCTAGATGGCTGCTCGGGTAGACACCTAACTGCAGCAGCACACAACAATTTCAATGGAATACAACTAAAATGTAGAGTGGACATTGCCCAGAGCCACAGGTAGTCAACTGACTGAAAATTCTACAACAAGAAGGAAAGAGAAAACCAGAAGGAAAATCAGAGGAGCTGTCAAAAAGCCTAAGGTACGGAGACATGCTGCGCGCTCGCACGCGAGAGCCTGCGGAGAGGTCGCAGCCGGAGAGGAGAAGAAGGCTGGGTGCTGCCCGGCGTTCCCTAGCAGGAAGGAAATAAAACCCCCAGCCTGGGCTGAACCCCCGAACCGGCAGCGCTGAGCCCCAAGTTATGGGCCAGACCCTGGGGACCCAGACTCCGGCAAGGGGAGACGGGGCTGTGAGGCAGAATCCCAGGCGAGCAGCGAAAAGCAGGGCTCCCAGAGTCGCGTGCACATTGTGCACAGAGGACTGAATGTTGACTCTGATGCTGGATTACCCTAGTGGGAAGGAACAGGGCCTCCGGCGGCACCAAGCCTCAGTCCGGACTGCTCTGAACCCCAGTTCTGTGCCAATCCCTGGGGACCCAGGCTCAAGTAGAGGGAGACGGGGCTGTGAGGTGGAGTCCTGGGAGAGCTGCCAAAGGTCGAGCCCCCGGAGTCGCGCACATTGCTTGCAAGGAAAGGAATGTTGACTCTGATGCGGGATTGCCCTGGAGGGAAGGAAATGGGAGCCCCGGCTGTGTTGGGCCCCAGTTTTGACTGCTCTGAACCCCAGTCCTGGACCAGACCCTGGGGACCCAGGCTCGAGCAGGGGGAGGCGGGGCTGTGAGTCAGAATCCCAGGGGAGTGGCGAAAAGCGGAGCCCCCAGAGTCGTGCGCATTGTGCGCAGAGGACAGTCGGTTGACTCTGATCCTAGACTCCCCTAGCGGGAAAGAGAAAAAAAAGCTCCAGACTGGAGGAATGCGACAGGGAGCAGGAGCCCCTGCTGGACATCGGCAAGCCGGGTGCCGGCAGGGAGCCGGGCGACGGGGCCCCCAGGGGGGGGTGCCCCTGAGCCCTCGACCTCTGAGCAAGGGCAACGGAGCCAAGGCCTTGGGCTGCTTCCTGGGCGGCGCTGACCCTGGCAACAGGCTGGAGCAGCGCAGGAGCCCACGGAGAACAAAGGGGTGCCACAGGCCAACCTGCTGAGCTCCCAGGACAAGGAGGAAGAAACCAAAGAAGTTCTCAATGTGAAGAAATCAAGTGAGAGCAAAAGATAGTAAAATTACTTAAGAAAGAATACAAAGAACAACTTGAAAAATCAAAGAATCAAAGACTAAGTCAGAACTCAACTCACCAGCCAACATTGCAACATATATGCGTTTAAAAAAAAAAAAAGGACAGAATGTTGGAACAGCGGCGGCCAGGCCTAGAGTGCCCAGACACAAGGAAGTGGCAACCGGGCCCGGAGCAGCAACGGCCAGGCCCCAGAGCAGCAGCAGCCAGATCCAGAGCAACAATAGCCAGCACTGGAGCAGCCAGACCTGGGGCAGTGGCAGCCAGGCCTGAGGCGGAGGCAGCCAAGCCCAGGGTGGCCAGTCCAGGAACACCCAGACCCGGAGTGGCCGGGCCCGGAGAAGCTGGGCCCAGAGCAGCTGGGTTGGG